TTGATTATTGTTATTATCATTGTTTGATTCACGCAGTCTGCCGCATATACCCGAAATTCATTTCAAATGAACATGATCCAGACTTCACGCCCTCGGAAACAAGATCCAGTTTCACGCTATCACTCATATCAGCGATCCTGGCTGTCAAATCAGATCCCTGGTGAAGATGCCAGACGAGCATTACGTTGGAATGTCAAAACGGCCATGATGTATCGAGAAGTCCCAGTACTGCAGCGCAATCTGAGCGAGGTCACACGGTTGTTTGGTCCACGTGTAGCAACCATGCTAGCGAAAGAGCGTCAGCGGAAGCTGAAGGCGTTGAATGTAAGTTCCATCATTCATACTTCTCATTTAGTTTACTTATCCATTACTCGGCATTGTTTCATGGTTCAATAACCCCGATGTCCCAATGCGAACATTAGCACTAGCGCTGGGGATTTCTGGCTTTGTTTTGCTCAAAAGATTGACATAAGTCATAGCGAACAATTTAGCGGCTGTTCAAATAGAACTGAACCCTAACAGCAATCCACCGCATGCTGACAGAACTACGCCACCGAGCACGTCTCCAAATCCTCAACAGTAAAATGCACACTTGGCTGAGCTTGATTAGGTCAACATCGCCTTACTGAATAAGCATGTTGTGGGTGATTAATGAATATACACCCGTGAATACAAATGTTTTTTCATCTGGCAATTGATGGTTTCTACAAAGTGGTATTGATATCCATGAAAAAATGCGCGAATCTAGCCCGCTATCAAATAAGGTCATTGCTAAAACCCTATTGCCTTGGCTTTGCAAAACCCTAAAAACGCATTCTCGAGTAGAAAAGCACCACTGGGGCTGCTAATTTATACCATACTCTTAAGCTTATTCATAGATAAATCCAGGAAACTGACTTATTACAACTTGGTCGAAGGTCGCTTAACACAAAAGCTTTAAAATCCTTACAGTGTACTTGAAACTAATTGTTACCACGTGCAGTACCAAGTAATGAAGTCGGGACGAATACGTAATGTTCTTTTATTATAGTGAAAGGGAAAATTTCCATGGACAAATAGCATACCGGAAGAGGGAGACTAGAGGAATATTCACGTAAGATCCAGTCTATTGATTCTGCGTTTAAAATGTGTAAGATTGCAAGTTGGGGCAAACACGACAAGTTGGAGGGTGTTCCACAGTTTGTCAGTTCGGGGAAAAAAGAGAAATAGGACATCTGGGAACAAAAACCTGATAAGGCTGACTAGATGCCTGTGTACGGGATGGGCCGGTAGGAGTCGCAGGAAGAGGAACTGCCGAGGCAAGTTCCGAAGAACGAAATCCAAAATAATAGCGGTAGAATGGGGACAATGAAGCAACTGCCCGACGATGGGCTAGCGACTGCCGACTGGATGTTAGGGAAGGATCATCGATTAGTCGGATGGTCTTTCGTTGAACACGATCAAGAACGGAAAGGGAAGAAGACGAAGCCCCACCACACACGTGACTAAAGTATCCAAGAGCTGAGCGGATTTGCACTTTGTACAATGGAAGATGCGCTGGGTTGAAGAAACGTCTGGCGCGAAATAGAGATCCAACCTTGTGCGCAGCACGAGAAGCAGACTTAGCTATAAAACGGGACCAGCATAAAGAAAGTTAAAGACAATCCAAGGAGGGAAACGAAGTCTGTTGAACGCAGTTGGGTGGAATTAAAAGATGAATGGTGTTTTAAAGAAATTGAAAGAAGAGAGGTTTTATAGCTGTTGAATGAGACGTGGTTTAGAATGCCCCAGGAGGAGGTGTGTTCAAGATCGGAGTCTAGTGACAGATTACCTGCACTACGGTCACCATCGATGTTGGTTTGGACATGGTGAGCAGTGCGATAGGCCAGGGAGCAGTGGAGGGTGGCTTCATCAGCAAAAGAATGGATCGGGTTGACAGTTGTGGAAAGGAGATCATTGATAAATAGAAGGAAGGTGGGCGCAAGTACTAAACCTTGGGGAACACCAGCGTTCACAGCGAATGGCTGAGATAGAACCCCATCAACTCGGACGGAGATGGTCCGCTTACTGGGGAAACTTGATGTCCACGCTACGAGCGCTGGAGGGAACCCGAACATGGGTAGTTCCGCCAGTAGACCGTGCCAAACTCGGTCGAAAGCCTTTGAGATATCAAGCGAGACCAAGTGTGTTTCCCCGTGGTTATCGAGTGGAACTGACCACGATTGTGAAACAAGAACCAGCAGGCCACCGGTGGAACGACACTGTCGAAAGCCATACTGGTGGTCGCCCAGTAGTCCTTCACATTCAAGGAACGTGCGTAGCTGGTTCGATAGTTTCAAATACTTTCGAAAGATGGTAAGATGCACTGGTATCGAGATTTACTTAGTATATGATTACCAAGGCGGCAGACAATTGGAATAAGATGACCAGATTCCATGAATCAACGGTTAGTCTGAAAATGATTTCACTCTCCAACCAGCGGATTCCACATTATTCTCTGTCGATCATCTTTTGTCTATGGTAAACAGCTGAAAATAGATCAAGCTAATGGCGTTTGGCTATTTGTTTCTAATTTAGTCCTGTCATCAAGTGCGGTTTCCGAAGCAAAGTACTAGTTTCCTTTACTGAAACACGAGGCGAGGCGATGCTAGTCAAGTTACGTAACCCAATCTTGTGCGAAAAAATATAGTCAGACACTGATGTTCAGAACTAATTTTAAATTTTCGTCATAAAACCTTGCTCGGTTTTGTTCTCGATATGCTGTCCAAGTTAGTACGAACAATTAACTTTTTATTTCGCTTTCTTCCCTCACTCCAGTTGAATTATATTCCACCCACCGAACGAAATCACTTTAATCAACGGAATAACCACAGCCACATGTTGACCAGTCGAGGTTCAGTCACCACTGGTTCGACCTGTTCATCTGCGTACTGAAATACGGGGAATCAATGGTAAAGGAAATGTCGACACTGAGAACTGGGTCGCAGAAGTAGGGAAACCATTTTTGTAGCTTCGTTTCTCACAGTATGCGAAATTGTCATTCCCGTAACTGCGGTCTAGTTTGCACCCCGGCTCCTTTGTCGGTTTAGATGACACCCCCTCTCATGGACCTATCAACTTCGGTTTTTATTGAACTGGTGTGCGCCGTTCTCGTACGTTGACAATCCAACTCAGTTTGATTACTGGTGATAACGCTTTTGCTTGCTACCAGTTTAGCGGTATTTTGATTTTCTCTCACCTTTTTTGTTTTTCTACGCACTTTTCCGCACGTCTGTTTTCATATCGGGGTTTTTATTTGTTTTTGTTTTTCTTAGTCGCATTTTCACTCCCTCGCACATTTCTTCACTTGAGCACCCATATTGGATCAGTGCCTAACTTCACGACACTTACTGTTACCGCTCCTTCACATATTGGGTCACCACCAACACTACCACCAATGTTCGTAACCCCCTCTTGTGTTGTCACATTACAACATTTATTCCAGCTCAATTCTGTTTGCATTTTTGTTAGTTCGTTTTGTTTATCTGATTACCAATTTTCATTGCCCGAACTGTTCGGCGGTGGCTCATGATTGTATCACTTTTAAGTGACCATTCAATACTTTACACGTCAGCTCACGAGCATGTCATCTTCGGGGTTATTTAGTGATTCTTATCTCTGATTTCTGTAGTTAGTTGCAGTAGTTCCATAAACTTTCCATCTGAAATATTCTTTCTGCTTGTTTATATTTTCTTTCCTGTGGCAATTTTTAACTGTTCCGCTAGTTTTGTCTAATAAGAAGACGAATGAAGTGTGTCACCCTCCGTTGGTTCCCTGATTCAGCCCACTCGTCGAATAAGTTTGGTCTAACTTTCCAGATTTATCGTATTTTGTCGTTGTACAGTTATTCTGGCGGCCACAGAAGTTCATAAACATTGGGGTTTTACGCCACCGGATCGCACTTAAGAATGTCTGCTAGTAAATATGTATTGCTTCTTCGATTGAGTGATTACAGATGATTGACCATAAAGTATGAAAATCCGGCTGGTTTCCATCTGGTTAGTAATGTTTCGATTGCACAAAATCACCAGTTTTCGCAGAGAGGATGCTAATAGCGTGCGCAAACGTGGACCACTTATCGGTCAAGTCATCGCACTTGTTGCCCTAGAAGCTGTATTTGGGTTTACTGGGATGGAGACGCATCCTTGAAGAGCAGTGTTGGTTGACGCCAGAGACTCGTCTCATTCCCAAGATTTTCTTGGATATAATGTCTATGGAGTCGAGTTGTTCTCGCACGGGAGGTCGTGAAGTTAAAAACAATATGGACAATACAAACATGCTAGTTCACACAGAATTCATCCATGCATCAAAAAGAACATTTCTTCGAACTAAATTATCAGCGATCGTCGAAAATGCATTGAATGAAGCATTTTCTGATTGTTCAAATTATGTCGTTTGTCAGATTGAATTTTTATGTTTGCATTGGGGAAAGTTCAGTAGCCTCGGTGGGATGCGAATCCACTCATAGAAACGGCCGACAGTTTTATACAACGCACGCATTACTAACTGAGATACAAGGCCATGCCGATAGCACTGATGTTCTTAGTCAGAGTTTTATATGGGAATCACTCACAAGCGCATGCGTCACTTGTCCCTATAGGATATTTACACAACGACGGTGAACTCTTAGAAAGGAGGCTCTCAGAAGCATTAGAGTAGACGTTTTACGCCACCGAACTGAAAATATTCTCATCCCATCCGGTCATTGCTGAGAAACTTGAAGGTCGACTACCACTGTCACCCATCTCTATGTGTCTATCAATTCACATTTTTCTGTGGAGCCGGCTGTATTGGTCATACCAGTCGGCTGTTGACCAAAGGGATTCAAGAGCATCATCTGGCCGGGTTTAGAAAATAACTAAAAATGGACGGTCGTAATTCAATTTTGGAGCATCTGATCAACATGGGACAGCCGGCATATGTCGAAAGATCATTTAACGTCATCTACAGAACCCCCATGAATTTGACAAAACGACTGAGGCAAATTATGCTTTGCACGGCCCGTAGCGGTAGCTATTCGTATCCATCACCCGGGAGTGTGCAAACAAAAGCGGACTATTCACATATTGAGGTTGCCATTGCCCGACGATCTGACGTAATTGACCGTTGTTCAGAAAATCACACAATGACTGGTGACTACTGGCGCTCCCTTCGGCTGGCTGCGATATATATGCCTGCTTATTTTAGGCCAGCGACTGCGAAGATAAAACGATATGTTAACATCTCGCAACATTTGTCTTCTTTCTGTATTGATGAAATGGGTAAAGGGGCCCCAATGCTTCATGTAAAATTTCATAATTTAAGTGTATTTAACACCAATATTTACAGATACGGCGCCTTGTTTAACCATGTGTTGAACGCAAAATATAGAAAGAGAAAGGGAAAGACAGAAAACAATCAACTTTGGGAGTAAAGAGATATTTTGTTTACAGACTGCAATTCGTTTTATGTTACTTTTTTGTTAATTTTAGGATCGCATACAAAAATAATGCATTCACGCCACTGACTTCGGTTCGATGGCAGATCCAAACACAATCCCTTAACCATCTACACCACGTCATAGCCTGCCCACCTCGCTGGTTCCCGCAGCCCGGACCGACGTCTGCAAATGGTGCAGAAGTTCCCCAGGTATT